AACTTTTTTGCCCCCGTTTCCCGGCCCCGGGGGGGGGGGGGCACGGTCCCGTCTGCCCCCACGCAGCCCCCGGTCCCGTGGCAGCTCCCACCGGCCCCCGCAGCCGTGTTTGTGTCTGGGGAATTTCACAGCCCTGTGTTTTGTACTGTATTTGGTGTGTTTTGTACTCTTGGCAATAAAAATGGAAACAAAAGTCTATTTTTGCTCCACAGTCCGGGCTGTCGGCTCTTCCTGCCGTCTCACACCCGCGTGGGGGGGGACACGCGACGTGGCCGGGGTGTGGGGGGAGAGAGATGGGGGACGGGGGGAGCAGCTCATTCTCACAGCACCCCCTGGCATGGGCCCCGGTGGGAATGGGCACCCCCAACCCTCCTGGCACAAGCCCCCCCGGGGTCGGGAAGCAGCTGCCCCGGGGGGGGGCTGTGGGTTCCTCCCACCCCCGGCAGCGCCTCTTGGGCAAGAGCCGATTCCTAGAAAGCAGCGGAGCCTGCGCCGCGCCGAGGACGGCAGCCCCGGGGAGCAGCCCTGGCACCGGGACCCACCGGGGGGGGGAATTAGCCCCCGAGTCACCCAGGATGTACCTGGAGCCCCCCCTGGCACCACCACGATGGGCCAGGACTTCCAGCAGCGAGAAGGGGGACTGTTTAGTGTGAGGAAGAGGAGGCTGAGGGGAGACCTCATCACTCTCTACAACTACGTGAAAGGACACTGTAGAGAGGTTGGTGCTGGTCTCTTCTCACAGGTAATTAGTGACAGAACGAGAGGGAACGGCTTCAAGCTCCAACAGGGGAGGTTTAGATTGAACATTAGGAAGGAATTTTTCACCCAAAGAGTGGTCGGGCATTGGAACAGGCTGCCCAGGGAGGGGGGGGAGTCCCCATCCCTGGCTGTGTTTAAGGGCCGTTTAGATGCAGTGCTGAGGGACATGGGGTAGGGGAGGACTTTGTAGAGTAGGGGAGATGGTTGGACTCGATGATCCCAAGGGTCTCTTCCAACCTAGACCATTCTATGATTCTATGAAGGGCAAGGTGATGGGCAGCCGGACGTGCCCCAGTGAAGCCGGGAGAGCCAGGAGACCTGGGCATCCCCCCCAAACCCTGGCAAGTCCCCGTTGCCGTTCCCACAGCCTCTCCCCACTCCCCCCCCAACACGGGACCGGTGTTTGGCCACCCCGGGCTGTCCCTGGGCTCCCAGACTTGCACCAGCCCCGCTTCCTCCCACCGGTCCCGTGACCACTGGCATCCACCGGTGGGTGCCAGGGGGTCCCCTCTTCCCACTTTCCCCCCTTCCCCCCCGTTTCCCAGCCCTGGGAAGGGGCAGACATGGGGCTGGAGCCACCCCCCAGCCCTGGGAAGGGGCAGACAGGGGGCTGGAGCCACCCCCCTGACCCCATCCCACCCCACAACCACCATCCCACCGTGGGGAAGCTGCTGCTGCCCGTGGTTTTTTGGCCCCACACCCTGCCTGCACCATCCATCCCTCCTTCCTCCCCGGGTTTATGGGGCACTTACAGGAAACCCCTTCTCCCGGCTCCAGCCCTTTCCCGGAAGGTGAAGCGCCGAGTGTGGGGTAAATATTGACAGAGCTGGGAAGGCCAAGAGCACCGGGTCCTGCTCTTTGCTCCGAGCTACCGGTAAAGAGCTGCCCCCAGGGCCAGCGGGCGCTGCCACGGGCGCAGGGCAGAGGTGCCCGGGCAGGTCGGTGCCAGCTCAGAGCAGGACTCATCACAGAATCACAGAATCTTCTAGGTTGGAAGGGACCTTAAAGATCATCTTGTCCAACCGTCAACCCGACTGACAAAAATAGACACCCACACAAGAAACAAGGAGCATCATCACTAAACCAGACCTCCCAGCACTACATCAACCCGGCTTTTGAACACCTCCAGGGATGGGGCCTCAACCCCCTCCCTGGGCAGCCCATTCCAATGGCTGAGAACCCCTTCGGTGAAAAAAATTTTCCTAATATCCAGCCTGAACCTCCCCTGGCGCAACTTGAGGCCATTTCCTCTTGTCCTGTCACCTGTGACTTGAGAGAAGAGACCGACCCCCACCTCTCTACACCCTCCTTTCAGGGAGTTGGAGAGAGCAATAAGGTCTCCCCTCAGCCTCCTCTTCTCCAGGCTGAATAACCCCAGCTCCCTCAGCCTCTCCTCATAAGACTCACGGCCGAGTCAGGTCCTGTGGGGAGCAGCACCAGGACCAAGCCCTCTGATGGGGCAGCCCTCGCCCTGCTCACCCCCTGCCCTGGTATGAGCCACAGCTCTTCATCTACCATCACACCAGGACCTGGCATGTGCCAACTCGGGGCCAGACTCACAGGAGGCAGCAGGAAGGGGCAGGATGCTCGGGTGGGTGATGGCCAAAGGACCAGCCATCACCCACGGCCACCCCAAGTGGGGTCTCTCCCCCCCAACACAGGCCCAGAAGCCAAGAGCTGAGACCACATGGGGGTCAGGCACCCCCGGAGCCACCATCCAACTGCATTCTCCCCACCCAGCACCGACCCAAACCCCATGGCACCTCTCCAAGGGCACCTTGCACCCCCAGAGCCACCATCCAACTGCCTTCTCCCCACCCAGCACTGACCCAAACCCCACAGCACTGCTCCAGGGGCACCCTGCACCCCCAGCACCACCAAAACACTCCCTTCCATCCAACTGCATTCTCCCCACCCAGCACCAACCCAAACCCCATGGCACCTCTCTGGGGGCACCCTGCACCCCCTCTCCCCCAGCACCACCAAAGCACTCCCTCTGGAGCCCCCAGAACAGGAGCTGTGAACCCCACTGGTGCCGAGGGGGGGTGGGAGGCAGAGCCCAGCCCCAGGGAGGGGGCAGGGAGCGAGGTGCCCCGAGGGGAAGGCTGGCACCCCCCAGCACCCGCTTCTTCCCCCCTCTCTCATGAGTCAAGCAGAAAACATAAATGAAAGGAGCAGAGGTGAAGCCACCCCGGCCCTGCCACCCCCTCAGGGCTGGGGTTTCGTGACAGTTAGAGGAGGATTCACCACCAAAGCAGCTGACTGGTGCCGGGACAGCCCCGCCGAGGAGCCTCTCCCAGCGCGGCACTGGGGGGGGGGGGGGGTGCCCCCC